CTGACTCCCGACCCCTTTCTCTCCTCTTCCCTTTCTCACAATGGCTGGTCAATCTCCAACAGGATTTCAGATCATGACTCAGATAAAGACCATATGGTGTGTCTTCACTTTAGAATATTTATATTTTGGGATAGGGTTCATGAGGTCCATTGCCCATATCATAAGTTCTGTCTGTTCTCTAAACCTATAGACAAGAATTCATTTTCCTCGGAGGGACTGAAACATTCCAGATGACAACCTGGCAGCTCCCAGGGTAAGGGTGCCAGTGAGCTATTGTAACGATGATTAATTTATAATAAAGGCCCACTGGGAACAGCAGACCTGCAAGATGCCCTGGTGTTCTCACTGAGCCCCGCTAGTCTCATATTCCCTAAGGCTCTGCCCTACCCCTCCAGATGTTCTTTCGCAAAACTGCATCAGCTGGGAGAAAAGGAAAAAGAGTGCTGCTTCGTGTGGACTTTGTTGGGATTAATAAACATTTGCTATTTGAACTATTCCTCTTGTCTGAAGGAAAGGAAAGGTGGTGAAAATCTTATTTGGGCTTGTGCATCCTTGTACTCTCCAAGTTTGCTCTTCTGAAGGTCAAAAGCTTAGCAAAACATTGTTACAAAAATGCTGTAATTAAGATTCATTTAGAAAAGCTTGGATAATGTGTCTAAGAAGATTACCAAGTTATGACTCAGCCCAACTATGTAAATCTTTTTAAAAAGTAGCTGATGTTTCATAAGAAGCTCCATTTAAAAATATCTCTAATGTTCTCCCCAGGAAAGTTATACTATGTATAAAGAGATACCAGATATAGAGAAATATCTGATATTTTGGAAGCTCAGAAGTTTAGAGGTGGGATCTTTATTTTATAAGCTCATTAAAGATTTTATAAGCCAATTTGGGGTTGTGGGATGGATATATTTTATATATGCAAAAATTTGTTTTTGAAAACCAGAAAATTTTTGTAATTAGATTATCTGCCCTGCTTGATAATCTAGTCTTCTCTTTAGAGAGTGGCTCTTAAATTTGAGCATGCATTAGAATCACCTGCAGGTGACTGAGCCCTAAATTGCCCTTGGAGCAAATTAACCTTGGAGATTCTGATTTGGTACATCTGGGACGGAGTTCAAAAATTACATTCCTAACTGGTTCCCAAGTGATATTTATGCTGCTAATCTGGGACCACATTTTGAGAACCACAGATCTAGATTATTGTAAACCTGGCTGCATATTAAAATTACCTGGGGGAGCTTTAAAAATTACCCAGCACTTGGCCATGCCAGACCAATTGAATCAGAAAATCTCTGTAGGGGAAGCCTGGGCTTAGAATTTTTCAGAAGCAACCCAGGGTGATACTAATTTGTAGCCAGGGTTGAGAGTATTTGTTCTGGGTAAAACTTAGTCATATGGCAGCCTTCAAATATTATGATACTAAAGCAGTTAGCAGCAGGTGCCCAGAAATACTAGCAATCCTTCCCAAATGTGGTTTGTGGGCTGGGTATCAGAATTACCTGTTGCCTGTTGAATTGCAGACACCTGTGCCCTCTGCCTGGCCAGCCCCAGGCTGCGGGGTGGCATCCCTCTGAGTCCGTGAGTAGCAGTTTCTGGAGGGAGTTTGGAGTTTGTGCTCTCAGCAAGATTACAAAAGGCACTCAGGGAGTTTTCCTCTGCCTGATAACTAGAAGGGCAGCCCGAATCAGCAAAGGTTCACATCATGCTTTGGCATATGATAGCTAATATGTCCATACTGGTGAACAATGCATCACTTCAGATTTTTTTTAAAAAGGCAGGAAATAAATGTTTCTTATTGCTTTCGCCAACGTTTTTCTCATTTAAGCCCCAAACAGAAACCAGTTCAAGGCTGATAGAATTATCTGCTTTTTTTACAGATGAGTCAACTGAGGTCCAAATAAATGAATTTCCCAAAGTCACAAGACAAAGGAGGTGGCGGAGCTGTGATTTGAACTTGGCACTGTTTGACTCCACAGTCAAAGGCCCTTTACCATTTTTGCAAAATGCCTCTGGTACTTCAGAAACCATAGATATTATGCAGAACTGGCTATAGAATTTTTGGTGCAAAATGAAAACTTGGGGACTTTTGTTCAAAAATTATTAAGAATTCAAGATAGCAGTAGCAGAGCATTAAACCAAGCATGGGACCCTTTGCGCAGGTTGTAGGCCCATGAAGCCAGTCCTGGTATTATGTGTTAATCCTCATCAAATGTTCTGATCAAATAAAGTCTGCTCAGAGACACCCTGCTGGGATGGTAGGAGTGCCCAGATCTGAGCATGGGTATACTGAATTCTAGTGATAGCTCTTTGAATAACTTCCTGTTGACCTTGAGTATGTTATTTAACTTCTTGGAGGTTTAGTTTATTCATCTGTAAAATGGAGAGAAAGAGGAGTGGGAAAGTGGTGGACACATCAGTGTTTTACAACTCCAGTTCTTTTCATATGGTGGCTATAACCATGGACTCCGGCCCTGCACTCCCTGAGTTCTCATCTTGGCTTTGTTATACTCAACTAGGTGACCTCAAGTAAGTGCCTCAGTTTCCTCATCTGTAAAGTGGAGACTGTTGTGAGGATTAAATAAGTAAAATAAGTAAATTAAATAAATAATTAAAGCTCTCAGAATAATGGCTGTTATGTGATAAGTGCTATATAAGTATTAATTTTTTTTTTTTTTTTTTTGAGACAGAGTCTCACTCTGTTGCCCGGGCTAGAGTGCCGTGGCGTCAGCCTAGCTCACGGCAACCTCAAACTCCTGGGCTCAAGCGATCCTCCTGCCTCAGCCTCCCGAGTATCTGGGACTACAGGCATGCGCCACCATGCCCGGCTAATTTTTCTATATATTTTTAGTTGTCCAATTAATTTCTTTCTATTTTTAGTAGAGACGGGGTCTCGCTCTTGCTCAGGCTGGTTTCGAACTCCTGAGCTCAAACAATCCGCCCGTCTCGGCCTCCCAGAGTGCTAGGATTACAGGCGTGAGCCACTGCGCTCGGCCAGTATTAATTATTACTATGAAACACATGGCACCTGTACTAGTACTAATGGTTTTCTTTAATACGATTCAATTTTTAAATGAAAAAAATCATCTATATAGTCTTTTCCTGTGCAATCATATTTGTGAAATCACCAGATTCACAGGTGAGTATGTGTGGTTTTCTAATACAATGTGAAAATGTATAATAACTATAAAATATTTTAAAAGTTCATTCATACATTTTCTAAAATCAGCTGAAGTATTACTGATGTAATGGGTATCACACTGTGGGTGTACTAGAAGTTGGAGCCCCTTTCAGCTATAATAGTCTGTGACTGAATGAATAAGCCTACGTGTATTTGTGTCTGTGCCTTCATTCATTTGCAAAATACATGACTAAAATATTTCTGCCCACTTCAGTCACTTCTGTCCAGGGTAGAATCTTTCCATTGGTTAGCTACATGTTCCAGTGGAAAAATGTTTGGAGATAAGAGATTGTAAATAAATCATATAAATGGTTAAAATTTTGATGAGTCAGTGGGGTCCTCTCAAGAAATCTTCCTGAAGTTCAACAAGGGGGATTTAGAATGGTGTAAAATCGGGACAAAATGCTTACAGGAAGGCATAGAACGGCCTTCAGTGGCCAGAAGTTTGCTGGAAGACACATACCCCTTCCTCTGATTGCTCTGTTTTTTCCTCTATCTAAATCTTACTTTTTAGGCCCAGTTCAAATTCTACCTCCTCAAAGTCCTTTGTGCCTATTCTGACTGGAATTTTTTTTTTTCCTCCGTGAAGAGTGCTTTATAATGTTTAAGAAGTATTTACTGAGCACACAGCACAGACACTCTGTTCCAGGCACAGAGGACACACGGTGAACACCCACGTCCCTAATCCCAAGGAGCTGACAGGCTCCTGACCAGTAAGTCTCTATGGCCTTGCCCAGACATTTGTTTCACCTCTCCTTTAGGCAGGGGTTACATATTCTGTTACTCTTTTATTCCTCCGAGCTCCTAAGGATCTTCCTCAGCTAAGTATTTATTACCAGAGACCCCAGGGTTACCACGTTAAAACAGTGACTCAGGAACTTCGAAATTAGTCTTCACTTAAACATCCCTCTCAAATTATCACTAGCATCAATCCCCAGCACCTCATAAATAGCAGCGACTGTCAGAGATGATAAACATGTAAGGAAAATACAATATAAACTGATCCCAAAGTAAAATTAGAAATCTTGGAAAAGGTATTATAGGACTTCTTGAAGTCCATGAAAGTGGGTTTAGAGAACAGTTTGAATTCATACCCAAAGCAGTGGACAATTGAGGACCTAACAGAGTCATATCAGTTATTAACAGTGGAAGACAGAGAGTCAACAAGAACCATGGCATGATGGGTACTTCCCAAGTGAATGATTGGAATGTCAAAGGATGAAGAAAGTACCTTGGGAAAAAAAATGAAAAATCTTTGAATGTTTTACAAAAGTCAGTATGAAGTGAGAGATGTTAAATGGTGCAAATCTGTCAGAAAAATAGTGCCAAAGTCCACACTTAATTCATAATTTGTTCATTTTAAAAATTAGAGCATGATTACTAATTTAATGTAATTTTGTCAAATGTAAGATAAATTTTTTCATAATTTTTTGTTTTACAATTTTTAGTTTCTAAGATAGAATTCCGATCAATAAACATTTCCCTTCCTCACTTTTACTATAATATCCTTGCCCCTTTAAAAAAAAATGTAGATTCACTTTAAGTGGACTTTTTCTGGTACTAATTATTCTAATATAGAAAGAACTTTCAGCAGTTCCGTATTCGGTGAAGTGATGGATTAATCAGCATCATTCTTCCAGAGCCAATGACCAAGACCATAACAGGCAAAGAAGGAACAACTGGCTTTATTGGCTCTAATGTAGAATGCAAGCTGGAATTCTCTAGGAATGGAGTTGCCTAGTCCAGTTAGGAGGTAATTTTGGGATAAGCGTGTTTAAGCTCCTAAAAGGGAACTCGCAAGGCTCCAGAGAAAGTTGCTTACCCACAAAGCACCAGACCGCAAACCGGATCCATGTGATGGTGGAGAGCTTTAGCATGAGATAGATGTTCACCAGCATGGCAAAGGCAGGCACAAAGGGGAGGCAAGGGGCCATATAGGGCAGCTTCTTGGGGTTCTCTGGCTGCTGCAGGATCACAAACACCAGGGCGCCGATCAGCAGCACCATCAGAACAACCAGAAGTATGGCCCACCAGCTCTGCCCTGAGATGTAGTCAGAACCAAAGATGATGAAGGAGCAGAAGATGAACATGAGGATGAAGAGCAGCAGCACGCAGATGGTCACCGTGTGCCCCGTTGCTGCTGTGGGCCGGTCCATTTTGCCTGGAAGGCCCAGCTGGATCCTCATGGTGTAGTAACGGGGCCCGATCAGCTTCTTCAACTTGATGAGATAAATGTTTTCAGATTCTTCAGCTTCTATGCCTGTGGTCATGTCCACGGTGCCATAGTTTGGATGGTTGACGTTATAGGTTGACTTGTCTGATTTCCCGATGAGCATTTCGTTGTCTCCCAAGGATGGTAAGTTCTTAGCCCCACATGTGTTGGTGGCTGGGCCAGAAAACTCATCCCCTTCACTCACTGGAGAACAGGCTTCCTTCTCACAGTCAGCCAGAATGCCCTCCTTCTTCTTGGTGTGCTCCTCAGACAAGAACTTGACAAAACCGTCTATGTCACTCTCGGGTTGGTATCGAAGGAGCAAGACGCAGACGGAGACCAAGGTGTAGGCGAGGAGAGTACCGATGGACATCATCTCAATCAGGTCTCTCAGGCTGACCAATAGTGAGAGGAGGGCTGCCAGGAACCCCGACACGATGCAGGCCACCACTGGCGTCTCTGTGTAGGAGCTTACATGAGCCAGGAACCTGGAGGGGAGGTGCAAGCAGAGGGTTAGTGGAGGGGTACAGACAGTGATGGATTCTAACATGGCCAACAGAGGGGGCTGAACTGTCCACAGGCTGGTGTGGTTAACTCCTCCTGGTCCCACTCCTCCAATTCATTCTGCATCTCATTCTACTTCAAATCCAGCTGCTATTCCCACCCCAGGATTTGGTTCCTGGAATATAATTTAAAGGGAATTCACTGTAATTCTTTGGTTTTAAGGTGAAATTCGTATATTAAAGTGCCCACTTCATTTGTAAGGGGAAAGGTTGATTCAATCTAGGAGGTTTGTCAGAGCTCTGTGTTGAAGTCCAGGCTTTGTGGGAAAAAGTGACGGTTGGAGGGAGTCACGCACCTGTTTGGGGGTCCTCTAGACCTGTGGCTTAGCAGCAGCAGTGTCACCTTGGAGCTTGTTAGAAATACAGATTCTCAGGTTTCGTCCAGGGTCTACGATTAATACATCAGAATCTTTGGGGGTGCAGCCTAGCAAACTATGCTTTAAAAGATCCCCAGAGGATTCTGATTTATGCCGAAGCTTGAGAAACACTGCTCTACAACAAAAGTGCAAGGATTTAGTTGGCAAAATAGCACAATGATTAAGAACCTGCGCTCATAGATACAGGCTCAAGCTCAGCTAGTAACCAACTGAAGAAGAGAAGACCAACAAGGCCGATGAAATGGTGGGCGCTTCTTTAGCCGTTCCTATAGGCTCCCTCTCCCCTACTCTCTCTTCTCCTGGTCCTTCCTTTCTCCTCCTCCATTCCTCCTTTATTTTCACAATTCACACAGACTGTGAATGTTCTTCAAGCCCCAGCATCTTTCCTCTTAGTTTTCTTTGACAGCAGAAAAACCTTTTGGATGTGTGGAGTTATCACACCTTCATCACCACAGACCCTTCTTGATCTGTTCAGCAACCCAAATACAGCAGCTCTGGCCTGGTGATGGCTTCAGAAGGTGCCCGAGGAAATGGGGCAGAAGATGACAGCCACAGAGATAAAGTCCCTGAGCCAGCCTCCTCTGCTCCCCTGAGGGCTCCTCCGCCTCCACGGTTTACCCTTTGCTTTGTGCACTTGCAGAAGGCCTTCCCTGCCAGCCCCTCATGCTGAGAACCAAGAGATGAGGCCACATCCCCTTTGTACCACGGGCAGATAGGCCACCTCATGGCCAACTTAGGAGGCTAGAACTCTCAATTATTGGTGTGGTTACAAGTCTGGTTTTGGGAGTTGGATAGTTCTGGGTTCAACTCCTGACCTGCCACTCAGCAGCTGTGGGATTTGCAGCAAGTTTTTTTTTTCATCTCTTTGAGTCTTAGTATACTCACCTGCAAAACAGAATTATTGTGAGGACTAAATAGGATACAGTATACAAAGCACCCAGGATACACAAATGTTCAATAAGTGGTGGCTATTGTTGTTGCTATTATTAGGTTCTCTTCAGAGGGTCTTATCGTCTCTTTAATTATTGATTTTTTCAACTTGAGAAGGGCAGTTACCAGGCATCCATGTGATGTCCCTGGGATGGGATCTTCCTTCTGGAGGCCACCCAGTGCTGCAGTTTGGCACCCGTCATCTTCACAAAGGAGCACACTATGTCACACAAGAGGGAGAAGGGCAGCTGGGGGAACATATCAATTTGTGCTGGGTTGAGGGACCCGGAGTAAAACTGAGGGGCTGTTTCAGGGCCTGAGCTCTTTTCACTCAAACTCTTTCCCAGGACACACAGCAGGTTCCGCAGTCTGTGTGAATGGCACTCACATCAAAATTACAGTCAGGCTGACAGCGGTGGACACACTCTCTGGATAGACGTGGCAGAGCAGAATAAATTTCACGGAGTGTAGCCCTTACCTGAAAAGGAGCCCATCACCAGCCATGGCGTAAATGACCCTCGGCATTGGGAAGAGGGAGCCCAGCAAGCTGACTGTCAGTCCTGCAACCGACCCAATGGCCACTATGAATTTCGCAGCATAGAATCCATGAGCCACAAACATCTCCATGAGCGGGGATTCCGTGTCAATGGCATAGTATGGCACCATCAGAGTTAAGATCACGCTCACCTGTTAAAACAAAAGGCATAGCTGGAGGTGTGGGCATGAACACCATGGATGGACGCCCCACAGGAGAAGAAAGAGCCCTGCCCCTGGAGGGGGGGCTTGCACGGCAGGTTGGATCTGCCACTTGCTGGCATGTGCCTTTACTTTAGACCAGTCATTTGGCTTCTGGGCCTCAATATTTTCTCACCACATGTGAATTTAGTGGACTAGACCAGAAGGTCTCTAATATCTCTCAGTGGCCCTTTGATGTCTGAGGAGTAAGTCTGCAGGCATTTCATCCTTATGAAAGCAGAGCTACACTGAGAGTCCAATGGAGAGCAGATACTATCAGAGAAAAGGAGCTGCAGCCAATGCACTGCAGCCAGGGCCTGGCAGTGACCATGAGCACCCTGCCCCCATGGACAAGACTCTCTTTTCGTTTATATTTTCAGGGTCCTATAGGGTCATGTCTGTACACCCTCTTGCTCCAAACACCAGAGATCAAAAATCCAAAGATAAGTGCTGATGAGGTCATTAGGCAATTAATTGATGGGACCCAGATGACGACTCATATTTCCATTTCCTCTCTCTAGCTTAATCCCAGGAACCAGGTAGGCCAACAAACAAATTGTGGTGTCAGGATGGAATCAAGTCCTACTCGAGGGCTGTAAGACCACTACGGCTTTGCTTAACCAGGAACCACTTGGCTGGGGGATCCTAGGACCTACCCACTTCACATGTCATAGGTCTTCCAAACATCCCTCCCTTCAGAATTGCCAGAGGCAATGGAGCTACCAGTCATATAGCCAGATATGGGGCTGCTCCAGCCTGCTATCAAGAAGGGAGTTCAAAAGTTAAAAGGGAGATGGTGGTCATATGCAGACCACTTCTTTGCCTATTGCAGGAGCTAAGCTCCTTCATGGGTGGGGTGCCAGGGAGGATAGCAGGATGTACCACCACAGCCCCACAGTTTGGCTCTTCTCATGGTGGAGTGGCTGCCTGCTAACCAGTGCAAGACAAAACAGCTCCTGAGGCATGTTTAAGACCCATGAAGTCTAAAAGAGAAGGTTTCCCAGTAACATCACCACTTGCAACATCCCCTTTGGGGATGGTGTGGGGTGGGCTGGAGGAGAGTGGGATCGATTCTTATGGCAACTTGGGTTGAGTCTCCTGGACACAGTAGATCAGGGTGGGTAAAATGTTGGTAGATGCATAGCAGTACTCTGTAGTCTATAAAGTGCTATTTTAAGAAAGGAACTGTAATTGTGGACTTTATTGTGCTGTAAGTGTCCGTCCTGGAGAGGGGAAGGGGAGATGCAGAACAGAGTGTCTTTTCCGCTCCCCAACCCCACACTCCTCCCTCAACGCTATCCACAGGGATGACCAGGGCATGGACCGGATGAAGCACTTGAGTGTGTATGTGTGTGAGGGGAGGCGATAATTGACCCATCCGGAAAACGTCTGAGTGGGTAATTAAATGTTTACACACCACATCCAAGCTGCTTTGTGTTTGTGTTTGGCTTCTAGGACAATTCTGTTTTGCAGCTTATCTTAATGATCAGTTGGTCTGGCTTCCTTAATTAGTTGCTGAAGATGTTTTTTTGGGAAGGAGAAACAGCAGGGCTGATGGGTGCACCCCCAGCGGCTGCCTCTTTCCTAATTGTGGTGACTCTAGTGTGTGGGGCCCTCAGGCCCCGGGGGTAGTTGTGTAACCACAGCTCATTGGCTTATCAGCTGATCTCTCCATTGCCAGGGGCTGAGGGGGATCTTGGGTGTGGCTGAGCTGTTTTTGTGATAGAAATTCAGGGATGGGAGCAGAGAGATGAAACATCAAAGTGTGAGGAGAGTCTCAGCCTCTCAGGGGTGTGATCCCACGGACACAAGGCTGAAGGCTTCATTCTGAGGACTCCCCCAGGCAGGGAAACCCGAAGGATGAGTTTGAGCCAGTGTCCAAAGAGGGAGCAACAGCCGAAAGAAATCTCATTTTCCTCTCCAGATTTGAGGGGAAGCGAGTCTCTGGAGGACAATACATTCTCTTTCCCGGCTCTGCGGGGAGCCTCGCCTCTTTGCTGCCGGGAAGCTCCCAGAAGACAGAAGAGCATTGAGGAATGTGCACAGAGGCCCACAATGCCTCTGCTCGCACACCCACCCGTTACTGCCAGCCTATGACCTGGGCTCCTTGGACGGCGGCCCACTCCCCACAGCAGTCCCCTGGGCAGCGCGGACACTGAGAGCTTGTGCACAGGGAGCGGCAGGACGGACGCCCAGGATGAAGTGAGGGCCTGGGGCCTCTCCTCTCCAGTTTGGAGTCCTGATTTTCTTCTTGTCATAGGGTGGGAGGTGGGGCCACAGGGGGCACACCACACAGGTACACAAACACCAAGAAGGCACAGGGAAAGGACTAGTTCCCCACAGAGGAGGGAACATAGGCCCAGAGCCACATCATGAGGAGGGTCCCATGAGCATTTGGTACTTACAGACACATACGCTGTCAGACAGATGACCAGGGAGGCAGTGATAGCATAAGGGATGGACGTGTTGGGATTCTTGGCTTCCTCTCCAGTGGTGGCGATGATGTCAAAGCCAATGAAAGCATAGAAACATGTGGCTGCTCCTTGCAGCACCTGTATGGATGCATTTGTCAGATTCAGAAAGTCAGGGCAGCACCAGGGCCTTAAACAAGGTACCCACAATTGCCTACTGTACCGCAGACATTACTGAGTGGCCAAGCAGGTGACACGATAGAGCTAGTGCTAAATACCCCAGGACCTCTACCTTCTGGCTGTGTGGCTGTGGTCTGTCCCTTCATGTGTAAAGTGGACATATGAAGAATTATGCTGAAATACACACTGGATCATTGAACACATTCAAGTCCTTTTTGGGAATAAGTGGGGGTGTGAATAAATCAATATGTTGGCTATCTCTATGTCTTAGGGAACCAATACAATTCTGTGCTTTGTTTTCATCCAGTTGTTCTCAACCACAACCATAGGCTGTGTGACCACCCCTAGGGGATGTCTGGAAATGCAGGGAGATACTTTTGACCTCACAGACATGGGGTGGACACTTCTGGAATTTAGTGTAGGGGGCTCAGATACTTCTGCATAAAGAATTATCCTGCCCAAATGACCATTAGTGCCCCTGATAGATCATCTCTATGGTAATTTCCAGATCTGAAATGATATAAGAGATTTTCGGATCTTCAGATCTTCTATTGTTTGGGAAGACAGGGTAAAGATAGAATTTGATTTTCTGCTTTTTTGGGGGCTTAAATGACCTACTTGGGCATAGAGCAGGAGGTCAGAGTAAAGCTGAGGAGGTGATACCCAGTAACATCTGCTAGATATCTGTCCCAGGGAGGGAGGGACTTTGTAAGTCAAGATGTCAGTGAAAATGTTCCATTTAGGAGCGTGTTACTTTCTTTTAAAGAATCTGTTGAAGTTTAAATGAAATTTCCCAAACTTCGTATTCTCATTAATAGCCGAAAATGAAAAAAGTACCTCTTTGAATGCTTAGGGATGTCCTTTTAGGGGAAGTCAAGAGTTTTTTTGGACTTGTGTGTATGGGCTGAGGGAATAAAATGCAAACTCTAGCCAGGGGTCCAGGAGGTGAGACCCATTGACTGGACCCATTTTTCCCCTTTCTTCCACATTTAGTTTATAACTGATGAAATTCAAAACATGTACCAAGTAGATACTTGTCCAAAATTTTCACTCTTACTTTCCCCAATGACTTCTCAATAAGGAAAAGACAAAATACTAAATACTAGGACCTGTAAGGTACATCACAAATTCTAAGATTGCAAACCTTCAAAAGCAACCTTTGCTGGTCTGTAAAGTGAGCTGGTGTCTTTTACAGTCTCTCCCAATTAGGATTCTAATTTTCCATCCCCTAATCTGGGGGTTCTAATCCTGGGGTCCATGGAATTCAGGAGGGTCTGAGAATATTGCTGGGAAATAATTATATTGTACTTTTTTTACCAACCTCTAACTGAATGTTAGCATTTCTTTTAATTACGCATGTAGGTGACAAACCAATAGTATTCATGCCTTTGTCACCAATAGTAATCAGATATTTTCATATCATATGAGAGTTGTTGCAAAGATCTTAAAATATTACATATGTTTATCACTCATTCCAAATTATGATAGTTATCTGACATAGATATTGATATTTAAAGCCCAATAAAGAAACCCATTGTTATTATATCACAATTTAAAAATATTCATTACTACATTTTGGTATAATTGATTTCTTTTGAATTCCTAAGTATTACTAATTAGGTTATTCATTTTAAAACAGTTCTCATAAAGGGTTCATAATTTTCATCAGACTTCCAAAGGGTCCATGGCACAAAAAAATTTAAGAACTTCTGGTCTATTGTAATAAGTCAGGTAGAAAGAACTTCTCAAACATAAGCAGTCCCATCTCCAGAGGGCTACTTTCTGGGAGAGAAGAGAACTCTTACTTTCCTTCCAGCAAAGTCCTTTACATCAAGGTATAGAAAATGTCTTTGGCCTCCAGACAAGGGGTGAAAACAGATTTCACTTCATCACACATGAAGTTTCACAGGCTTGGAACTGTGCTTGTTTTCACTTATCTAGAAAATATTACTGGTTTTCAAGGATGAATGGATGTTAGGACTGCAGGCTCGCTAAGCTGTCCTGAACAAGGAAAGCCTTGCTTTAAGACAGCTTACAGGAAACAGGTCCTGCTTTCTCTTCCTTCAACATCTCTCTTCCCTTCCACATACACACACACAGACACATACATACGCACATGAACACACACATTATACACATGTATACACAGACACACACACACAAACACACACGTATACACAGACATGCATACACACACGAACACACATACACACATATACACGTACACACATACAGACACACACACACACACATACCTACACACACACACACGCACCCCTCTTGTATCATATGGTGACCTGGCACAACAGCTATGTAGATCTGGGGCAAATCTACTTTAGAAAAAGGTGAGAGGTGTGTGAACCATGCCATGTGAGGAATAACTGGGAACCTAGAGATGTCTAACTTGAAGAGCAGGAGACTCAGTGGAAGACACGAAGGACACCTTCAGATGTGTGAATTACCAACAGTTGGCAGCTGAAGCAGACGCATCTTGTCTGTAGGTTCCAGAGGGAATCCTGGAGCCATGCACATGGCACAAGTGGGTTTGGTTAGGAGTGTAGACTTTGTAGACTGTGGGACCTAGGTTTGTTCTGCCACATACTAGCTTGGTGACCTAGAACAAGTCCCAACCTCTTGGAGCCTAAGTTTCATTATCACTTCAATGGAGATAATAATAGCACTTAGCTCATAGGGTTTTCATAAAGATTAATGAGACAACATAGTAAATTACAGTCCTAGGATACAGTAGGTGCTCAATAAATAGATCTTACCACAGTATTGTTATTGCTATTGTAAGTTTTTCTAGAGCAGTTGAAGCCCAAGTACACAAACTCCTCCTCCTCCTCATTCTCTCCCTTCTCCCCATCTTCCTCCCACACCCTTCCTCCTCTTCTTCCTCCTCCGTCTTTCAGAACTTGACAAATGTATGTTAAATGCTGCCATGTGCCATGCACTTTGCTTTGTGATGGGGATGTAGTCATGAGCAGAAAATCCTCTGAGATTGACCTTGGAGTCTAGAGGACACTACGAGACCCCAGATGCAACCTTGACTGTGGTAACAAAGTGAACAGGTTAATAAGTATCTATATTATTCATAAGACACAAATCCTACTATTTTCCAAAGGAATGATAGAATGGATGGCGATTACTGCTAACGATCAGCTACCAGAAAGTTAACTATGATCAAATTAGGAAGAGAGGAAATAAGTGTGCAGAGAGGATGTGTGTTAGCCTGAATTTGCATATATAGAACTAGAAAGCAATTATAGTTGAAGAAAGACTGGTCAGATCAAAGGTAGGACGTGTGGAGGTTCTACTACATCAGGCAGTCAACAGAATTTAACTCAGGTAATTCAAATGACATGATTTCAAAGAGAGACTGTAGGCAGGTACAGGCAGTGTATAGGCAGGGTTAAAGTAGACAACTAGGGATGTGGAGGCATCAGAGACGACAACTGTAAGAAGTTTCCGTCATCCCAAGGCCTGGGGCAAAGGGTGGGTGGTGTTCCTGGAGTCCAGTGGGAGCTGGAGGTGCCCAGAAGCAGCTGTCTCTGTGGAGGTGCACAGCAGTGTGGTGCCCAGGCTGCGAGGCAGCAAGAAGGAAATACCCTGGCCTTGCTCTCTCCTCACCCTCTGATCTGATAGTATTTCCCATTAGCTAAACACAACAGGAATCAACCGGCAAGGGGTTTTCTGGAGCACAGAACAGAGTATGAAGGGTGAAGAATAGATCTGGCAGAGGAGGCACATGAAGAATGGCTGGCACACCTACCGAGGTCAAATAGACCTTGGTCCCTGATTGGTAAATACAAAAGAGCCATGAAATGAAAGGGTCCGTGGGTGTGTCTCTACCCAAATAACCACCAAAACTGTTTTCCACTTCATGCTATACAGTTATCAGATCTGGCCACTGGTATTTATGATTAGGATACCCTCCTGTGCATGAAAGAATGTGTGCGGTATCCAGGTGTGGGCATCTAGGAATAAAATCGGTGGGTAAAGTGTGTGTGTGTGTGTGTGTGTGCGCACTTGTGTGCACGTGTGTCTCTGGGTTCATTGGTACTTTATCTTAACTCTTTATTTTAATGTTTTACTTGGTTAAAAATAGTATTTGCTGTGTACTTTGATGACATAGCTGAGATTGTTTTCCGAAGTAAACCTGGTGTGGATGCTCAGCCCGGCGATCCAGAATGGGTCTATCCCTCTGTAGAGCTTTGCAGGGAAGCATCACGTGCCTCAGTTGCTGGAGGGCTGCTGTTTAATTAGTTGTCAAAAGCAATGTCATTAGTGGCCTGCTACTCAGTGTGTGGGGTCCTTAAAAGCTGGCCCCCTGTGCCTCGCTGATATTTGAGAGGCATTAGGATGAGGCGGCCATCTCATATTTTCCACCTTGGCCAGTCTGCCAGATGCCTAGGAGATAATTAGGCACCTTTACATAACTCACTCCCAAGGTAACAAGACAAAATTCCAACTTAACAGTATTTGCTACCACCCCCATGCCCCAGCTCTATTAGCAACCTGTCCACAGTGACAGTGGAATGTGCTAATAGTTCCAACAAATGGACTCAGATGTGGAGAACGTGAAAAATAACTTTTCCTTTTTTTGGAGGCTGTCAGAATTCCCCTCAAATGCTTGCTATGGACCATTTTCCTGGGAGCTGTTTGTGCTGGTAGAGTGTCTTATTTGGTTAAAGAAAAACCATAAGATAGCATCAAGAACAAATAACATAAAGGGAACACAAATCCAGCAATGTCCAGCGGCTGAGGAATTGCAGATGGAGGCAGGGGTTCAGCTGAGGGCCAGAGTTACTTGATATAGGGAAAAATGTTTGTTATTCTTAAGCTCTTCAAGACCAAAAAAGCATTTGACCCAGAACCTGTAAGTGAGTAAACCATTCCTTAAGCTATTTTCTTTGGAAGGAAGTATTTGGAGCAGAGGAAAGAGTAGGCTTATGAGGGGTCTGTGGCCAGAGGATGGATTGTTCATTAACTCTTTCAAAGTACTTGAGAATTGTGTGTAAAGTCATGCAATACTATTCTTATAAATCATCTCCTACACAATAGTTTCTTCCGTTCCATCCTAACTAGAGCGACTGAAGAATGAATGGATTGGAACTCTGTACTAGTCTACCAGTCAGGGGTAGGGGTCCCTAAGGAGTGAAGAAGCTCGTGTAGCTGCTAACTGGGCAACATACTTTTGTTGACAATTGTTAGATGACAAAGCGGGGGATGTGTTTATTATCTTGGTGGATGACATGGCCACGAGACAGTGTCAGACCTTAAAAAATAGGATCTAAATTCAAAGTGACCTTGCTGGACTGGAAAAGTGACCTGAAACCAAAGTTGAGAACGAACAGGTCCAGGCCCATTCAGTAGAGAGGAAATGTACTATGCAGAAATCCAAGGCCAGGCAGAGAGCAGACAGGATGAATCAGCAACATCTTCACACTGGGCTGTCCTTTGTGCTCAGATGATACTTTTAGGCACAGCCGCTAGGACATAAATTATCCCTGAGTTTCCTTCAGGGATAATGGATTTGCAGCAAAAACTTCAGAATCCCAGTCAGTTTTTTTGGTGGCCAATGACAAAACTACTGAAGGTAGTAGGCTTGGGTTGGAGTGAGGACAGTGAACAGAAATGCAAAAATGATAACTGGTCCCATGGCTCCAAACTCAGGGGGAGTGGAGTAAATAAGGACTTTGGTCATCCAGGACTGGGGTCGAGTTTCAGCTCTATTACTTATCATCTATATCTGTGACGTTAAGTTTTATAAGCGTTAGTTATTTCCGTGTAAAAGTGGAGATCATTGTACTCATTTTGCAGGGCTGTTGTGAAGATTAAATGAAAAGTATATATGAAAGAGTTTGTCACAAAGAAAATGTTAAATGTTAGGAAAGGCATCCTTCCTTCCTTTTTTATGCCTGACTTCTGATCTTCTTTTATGAAAGCTAGTGAGAACCCAGATGTATAAACGGGGAACCCTTAAGGCTGGTTGATTAGCTGCTTCCTTGGTGAGGCAGGCTCCTGATTGAGGAAGGATGTGGAGTCCCTGAGAAGGGAAGAGGAGACCCCCAGAGTGAATAAAGACCTCAGAACAAAACACAAAGTGAAAGGAAAGGCTAAAAGACTCCTTCTTCTTCTTCGGAATGAGTAAAAGGGCATTTACACAGAGGATATTAACTTTTTCCAATCTTTACATGGGGTCTCAACTATAGTGCATGACATTTGGGTGAGCTGTTAGAAGGATTTTAAAAATTAAATATGAACTGTGTAATTAAGCAAAGTTTTCAGTTGCATTGACAGGATGTCTTCATAAACAATGCACACTCAAACCTGGGTCCATTTAACTATACTCCCATCTGAGGACAAGAAAAGAGACTAGACTATCTCTTAATGTTCCTCCAAGGAACATTGCAAAAGAGCCATGAAATGAAAAGGTGCATGGGTGGAAGTTTGAAGGAAATGTAACATGTCAGATTCATTACCTTATTACTTTTTTTTTTTATTTTTTAAAGAAGGCTCAGAAGGGAGTGGACATCCACACAAGGTGTGGTGGAAAGGGCTTTGGAGTCACACAGACCTGGAATTCCAGCCCTGGCACTAAGTGAGGCCGGGTAAGTTACTCAGCCTCTCTGAGCCTTGGAGTCTCCATTTTTAATGTGGGAACAATAGCACCAACTTTAAAGTTTTAAGAGTGAGATAGTGTTCACAGAGTACAATGCCTGGCACCTAAATACTAGCACCTTCCTCCTGTCATTTTAACTATTGCTAACCAGAAGAAAGTGCACATAGAAATTCCAAAATTTTGTTCTTTTTTTGCAAACATTTGGTGCAATTAGCTTTCCCACTTGATAGATGAAAAAAGCTGAAACCACGGAAGTTAACTGATGGTCAAAGTAAGTCCATGACCCAGTAATTTCTTATTTTGTTAAGAAAATGGTGAGATTGTTTTCCTGTGCTATGATGAAAATGCAATTGAGTTCCATTCTTTTTTTTCTTACAATTTGTTGTTTCTCTTATATGATAGGAAAGGAACAGTTTGTATCATAAGATAATGTAGATTTGGGGATCTAGAATGAGGTCAACACTGTTTCTTTGTCTCTTCTGGTTTTAACCAGTTTCAGTATTTATTCGTTTCAAAGAGGAGGGAAGAACTTTGTGGTTCTGTGGAATTCTTACAGATAAGCAGAAGACTGGAAATCTTGGCTTCAATTGCTTCCTTGCTTATTTCTCTGCACTGAACAGCATGGCATGGCTCAGAATAAGCAGAAGTTATTCTGAGTCTTCTCCAAGAGAGATTTCTGATCCCTGGACATCTTGGAGGAAAACCAGTCTAAGCAAAAACTGCAAAAGCAGAGTGTGGAATCCTGGACTTGTTTTCTGCCACCCGTCTTAGGCAGATTTGCCTCACTAGGCCTCAGGTTATTCACCTGTCAAATGAGCAGAGGACCAGGTGACCTCTAAGATCCCTGCCAACTCAAAATTTTCTCTGATTTATGTTCTGTAAAAGATAGACTAGTGAATTTTACCAGTAAATCCATAAAATAAGCATTTTTAATTGTACTGGAGAAAGAAACCAGGAGCAACTTAGAACCACTTGTCAGCATAAAGCATTTGCCACTTTGACTTTCCTATTTTTCTTCAGCATAGAACACACCACCCAGATTGTGGGGTGAGGTCTGAAAATGTCCTTTTGGTTCAGCTCACTCCCTTGCCAACCCCCAGACCACACCAAGTAGACTTCTCTGCCATGAACCACATCTCTGGAATGGGATTTATAACTAGTACTCCACTGGGCCCACTCACCTGCCCTCAGACCCCAGCGGACTCTCCTCCTAGGGTCAAATGTTGGCATTAGATTTAAAAACTGTTCTTTCCCTAGTTCCATATACAGGCAAAACTCATTTCTTCCCCACCTGTCCACTGTCCCTGCCCTCCTTTATTGCCTTGTCTATTTATGGACCTGTGTGTCTCTCTTAGACTGTAGAGACAGCCTCCAGAACTGAGCTATTCTTGGACAGACTTTAGAGTCAGACAGTACTCACTATTGGTCTTGCCACTTACACTGTGTGCTCAATTGAAAGTCATTTGATCTCTCTGAATGGGAGTCTTTTTCATCTTTAAGACCAGAGTCTTCTCCATTTAATTGGGATGATTAAATTAGATATTACATGCAAAGTACTTAGCACAGTGTTAGGCATATTGCAAGTGGCCAATACCATGGAATCTATCACTGTTGTTTGTATAAAATAGGATCTCAACAAATGCTGGTGAAACAAATAAGGAAAAAAAAAAGAACCACTTCTTCGGAACATTCCAACTAAATTCACATTAAAAGGTGATAAAGAGAATGCCACAGTGATTATGGAATACAGCAGCACTTTCTTGAAAATATGTCTTCAGCTGATCACTAGGTGGAAGGCAGAGCATGTGACAGGTGCACCAGGCTTTAGGAATGAACTCACCCCTGACCAGCCATGGGGCAAGAACTGGCCTTCAGCCCAGTATTTCCCATTGATGAAGAAGAGGCCTGCAATCATGATGAACACCCACACTGCCAGGTTCAGCACGTTGAGGACGTTGTTGAAGCCCACAGAATTCTTCACGCCCAGAGCAACAATGATGGTCACAATGACAGCAATCAACAAGGCCAGAAGGTCTGGGTACGATTCTTCACCTTTCCCTAGAGGGAAAGACATGATTTAACACCATCCAGAGGGAAGAAAGGGCCATGCAAACTCCTGGTCCCACCGCAGTGCATCCTCTCTCAGTTTTGAGAAGGGTGGTCAGTCTGTCAGGGAGACAGAAGGAGGAACTGTGTGTGTATGTGTGTGTGTGTGTGTGTGTGTGTGTGTGTGTGTGCGCGTGCATGCAGGTGCCTACACACACCTACGCTGTGTCTGTTTGCAAATGGGCAAGTTTTGGTAGATAGGTAAGAGGATCTGATATCCTGGACCCAAAACAGGGATATGTGATGTGACAATTACAACAGAACCAGGGCACAGGACATTTGAAGTCAGAATTGTCCTGGTATGGAATATATATAGAGGTCTAATATGTTATTTGAAAATTATTTTTATCTTCATCACTGAGAATTTTATAGTCTATAAAATTTCCATTCCATTCCAACAAACTTTTCTTTATTAGCAAATCTAAGAATGTGTGCCTTTGAGAACTATTGTAAGAGGGGTTTTCTGTTCCTTTTTGTGTATGGGGTTGCAGAGAGAAAATAACCAGTGAACACGCCCTGCCTGCTTGTTCTTGCTCATTGGCCAGTGGACTCCTGCCCTCTGCAGAGTGGAGAAGGCACTGCCTCAGCAGCCAGCGTACTCGGGCCAGGAGCCAGCCGTGTGGCCTTGGGCAACTTGCCTCACCTCCCTGTAAAGTGAAGGGCGTGGATGACCTCGTTTTGGAGGACCCTTTCAGACCTAAAATTCTGTGAAATCAATATACGGAACAGGTTTAGTCTTTATATTTTCATCTTATCATGGTATCTGTGTGCTCAGCATTTTTGTTAATTTTTCTGAGATAGAGACACCAAAATCAAAGGACTCAACATAGCCACAGAATCATTCCTTGGAGCTTCTGAGGCAAGACTCTAAAGCTACCTCAACTATTGTTTGGCTTCCCTCTGATATGGGAGTTTATCAGATGTCAGGAGGGAGAGTGGGCAGCAAGTGCTGGATGGAGCCTGAGGTCTCATGGCATCTGTTATGTGAGCTTCTGGTTGTTGGCATCCAACCACTTATATTATCCCTCTTGGACCTCTGGTAGACTAGAATCCATTTTGTGCCTTGAAAGATTTTTTTTCATTTGAAAAATAAAAAAAAATATTCTGATGAAACTTCCAGAGAAGTTCTACCAGTTCTTTTTCCTGTATTGGTTTTATTTTTATATAGTTATTGTCATGGTGCTTGTATGGTTTGTGTCTTTTCATATATGACATTACATTAAAACATATTCCATGTTATTACAAGTCTTCCTAATCATCCTTTTATTGCTAGGTACGTAATATGTGTCCACAATTTACTTAATCATTTGTCCCATTGTAGAATATTTAGGCTGTCTCTAAATTTTTGTGATTGTAAATAAGGCTGCGATGAATATCTCTTTATATAATGCTTTCATGGAAATTTGAATCTTTTTTTTAGGATGGATAGATTCACAGACAAAGAGTTACTTTGCAAAAAAGAAAAACAAAAAAACATTTAAGGCTCTTAATACATTTTGGCCATCTCACCCAGGCCATTGAGGGTTCCCACGCTGTCCACCATCCAGCGGCTGATGGTGTGGTTGGCCAGGGAGTCAAACATGCTGCTCAGAGCGCTGGCGCCGGCTGCAGTGCCAATCAGGTACTCCAGGATCAGGTTCCAGCCGATGAAAAAGGCCACAAATTCCCCGACAGTGACATAGCTGTAGGTGTAGGCAGATCCTGTGGTCTTGGGGACTCGAACTCCAAACTCTGCATAGCAGACGCCTGCGAGGATAGACATACACAGATGGTGGACTTCAGGAGATGAGCTAGCCTCTTGGTGGTTAACAATCTTGGGTAGAAAATACTGAGAATCTCTGAGATCTTAGAACACATACACAAAGTTTTATGTGCATGAATCAATTTGAAGCCAACTCTAATCTCTTCCAGCCTCACTTCTGAAAAACTTTTTAACCTAAATGCCTAGCAATAGCAGTAGCATAATTCTACTGAGCTATTGGAGACTGAACTTTATTTAGAAAAATTCTCACTTGTTGTGTGCATCTCTCTTGCGTTCTTTAAGTGTCAGATATCCTGAGTGAACATGGGCCTAAATCAATATGACTCCCACCCTTGATGGCGCCAGGGTCATATTCCGCAGTAACATTCTTCTCTTTCAGGTTTTACATATTACAAAAGGTGCTCCTCATTTGAGTGATGCTTCAAGCAATCTGTGAAAATGCTGTACTGTATCTAGGGGGGTAGATAAAAGATGGAAATATAAACAAATTACTAGTTATTTACAAGGAAATTCAGCACATACAAAAGATAACAAACACTTTTAGAGTGCCTACTATGTGTGTGGCAGGGTGCTAGGGCTGAGAATGAAAAAGACAAATGACACATGCCCCAGCCCTCAAGAGGAGATAGGCCAGAAAACGAGTGCATGTCGTAGGCTGTGTAAGCTTGACAATGCAGAAAGGTATGAGATCAATGAGAGCGGAGATGAGAACATGTACCCAGCTGGTTTTGAGGTATATGGAGGAATTAGTTGGATAAAGAAGGTAGAACATGAGGCAAAGACACGGTGGAGAGAGACAGTATGAAGTATATGGGTGGAGGGGAGTGTGCATGGGGGTATTACGCAAGACAAGGCTACATGAGTAAGCAGAAGCTGTGTGTTTTCCAAAGTGGGTTCAGGGCCCACTTCCACCAGAATCATCTATTGAATCCTAATTTCAGGAGATAGGGACCAGGAACCTGCATTTTAACAAGCTCCCCAGGTAATGCATGTGTTTGCTTATATTTGAAAAACACTGCACTATTGCCTCATTCTTTGATATGATTAGAGATCAAATTAGAAAGAGATTGAGAATACACCAAACTTCTGGGAGTTGGAAGAGTCTCTTATTTTGTGCTGGGAATTCTGGATGTGGGCCCATGGGTGAGGCAACAGTTGGAGGACAGACATAGTACAGCGTGGAGGGAACACACCAGGAGTGGGATGGAGGAGAATGTGGGAGGGAACTCAAAATGAGTCCCAATTTTGTTAAGGGTCAACCCTGAGGTTCTCTTATCACAAACCAGGGAACAATAGTTCACTCTTTTGTGAATAAAGAGAGCAGGATTCTTCTCCTTCTGAAGGGGGTGAAATCAATGCAAGGAAGCAAAAACAGAGATGTCAAAAACAATGCCACAATCAGTGATTCAACGTGATGTACTGTCTCCTCCTTCCCCGCAGTAGCTCCAGTTGTCAAGGTGTCCATGTGGAAGGAGCACCCAGCCAGTTAGGCTGGGCTACTGTCTCAACGTCACTCCTTTACTTTCAGTGTCCTGATTTGTAAAATAAAAGTATTATACCAGATGCTGCTCTAAGAATTTCCTAACTCTGAAACCCAGGATTCCATCTGCTGTATTGAATTTTGCTGAAAAATCCATTGACAATAACTTAACTTTTCTTTTATGTCAATTGCTATATGGTTCTGTATTATAGAGATGCTCTCTGGGATAGTGATGCCATCTGTCCCTACATTAAATGACCCAGGCTGCTACTTACTTTGAGCTCCTATGTCAGCCTTCCTCCCCTTACTTTGTAAAATAGTTTTCCATCTTCTTCCTTGATGTCAGACTGTCAGTTGTTACTTCCTGTTGCTGCCACAGTGCTTACCTCGAGCAGTCAGACTGCCTCTTTTCTAAATTGCTGCTTCCAACACCTGATGTTTAAATTGTTAGAGTGAGTCTAAAATTAAGAGGAAATGGTCTCTGAAGAAAGGCCTGAAGAACTCTTCCGTGAGGAAAGTATAGCGCATACAAGCACTTGGTATGAGAACCTGATGCTATTTTCTTGCATGCTTGGAGGACTTTTGTGTTCTCTTCGGGGTTCTTGGGAATGGAGTTTGCACATAGAGATTAGATTGCTCTTTTAGTGCTGTGTGAGGAAGAGATTAGGTGGCAACTAATTTCTCCTCTTCGAGATAGAATCCAGAGCATTTTCCAATAATTCCTATATCCTATGAGCTGATTCTCTCCACCCATCTTTACTCCCTTGATAATGTACAAGATTTCTAGGTAAAATTTTTCCAAATGATGCTTTTGAAACAGGCATTGATTTAAGAGCAATTTTAATTTCAATAGCCAATATTGTGAAGTTTGGGGAATCAAACATTCTCTCCATAATATTCGATCTGCCAAATTAAATTTAAGAATGTCCAATTCACCACCAGAACTTACTTGCCAAGGGCAATTAGCGTATAGGCACATCTTCTTTAGGTCTTGTGAGGGGACCAGCCCCTTGCTGTCCTGAGTCAGAGGGAGAGGCCCTGGCTATGCATGGTGCAAGGAGCATTTGGAATCATAGTCACTCATTTCCCAAGGTCCTGCTGGGATCTTGATGGATTGTAGGTTTGGGGAGAACAGTGAGAAAATCAATCAGCGACTAATCATATAAGACAATTTCTGCTCCAAGAAATTGTTCTTTTGGAAACATTGTAAAAGATCTTATACTGTTTTCTAATCTTTCTGATTTGTTTGATGCAGAAATGCAGACTTTTAGTGGGCACTAGAGAGTATCTAGCCTGGCTCTGAAGCTCCGTGGTGAGGAGTGAGTGTTTACAACCCCAAATATCCTAAGGAAAATATTCTGGATCATTCAACTATTTTAAAATATTGGGTGTGTAAGAGAAACACATTCAAGAGTATCTTTCTAATTTCAATAAAAAATGAAAACCATGGAAAGGGAAATTTTGGTTTTTACCTAGATTATCTAGTGTCCCAGATCACTGAGCATCTGAGGGCAAGTTACTTACCCTCACCTGGGTGACACGAGGTGGCCAACTAGATAAGCTTTTGAGTCCTTTCCAGCACATCATTCTTTAGTTTCACAACTAGAGTCAACTCTCAATCATCTGAACCAATGGGGGAAGCCCTGTAGAAAATCCTGCAAACCAGTGGTTCTCAACAAAGGTGGTACTGGCTCCTGGGGGGACGGTCTATGCTTCACATGATGATTGTGGGCACTTGTGGCATTAAACGGGCAGGGGCCTTGACTGTTAGACATTCTGCAATGTGTGGGACCATCCCATAGAACGAAGCATTGTCTTGTATCTTACATGACTGCTGAAGGTCCCAGTGGACATGCATGTTAAGTACAAACCTGTTTATAATTTTTGAATCTGAATTTATCTCCATTTTATACATAACACAAAACATTTTTTCTTCATGGCTTTATATACATTGAATTTCCCAGGATTGCAACAACTGGGTAAATTGAGGGACAGTTGTAATTTGTTTTGTTTGGAATTTGCCAAGAGTTGGTCACCATTTTGGAAAACCCCATCATCAACAGCAACATTATTTGTGGTCTTTGAGCAGCAAACAACACACCTACGTGAGTGTGCATTTGTAGCAGTTGTAGTCATAGTGGTTCTACAAATGGCTATAAACATCTAACGACTTCATTATGTTTCCCAATGTACTCATGCCCCAGAACTCACATGTTGAAATAAATATTGCTTTTATTAGGAATTACTTTCCTTTATTTATCTTTCATACTCAGGGTATATTGATTTTTTAAAAAATTAAGTGTGTAGGAAGGTAACATTATCTCTAGTTGCCATTCCAGAATAGTAAAGGAAGCATTACAAAGTCGTTTTTTTTTTTTTTTAAACCAAAAGTTGATCTGGGTGTACTAGGGTGGAGGATTACTATTCTAAGTGAGAGATCAATGTATAAATAATCTTTACTTAATTTGGTAATCCATCGAAAAAGTTCTTGCCTCAGAGTTACTCTCCTATTCATATTTGCCTTAGGCTATTATCAAAGCGATTTTGCATTTCATGGTTACCCATCATGTGGTTGGAGAGGGAGAGTCCTATTGATTCCAAAAGTGTATATTGATACAGCTGGATGACATCAATGTTGAGGTGCAGGCAGCCACCAGTGAGTAACTGCATGCTGCAGACGACATGGAGGAAATTTTCCCATTAGAGGTGGTCAGAAATGGAAAATCTAGATCCTTGAGAAATGCAAAGAATTCATTTCAGCAGAACTAGATGGAATAGGAGTGATTCCACATAGCCTGTAAATCTGACACCTTTTCAATCATCCACCACACAAGTATATTGTAAACATATTCCTATTTACATTTTGTCATATTCCCAGCGTTTTGTTTTATTTCTATATCCAGAACTATTTGTGACTAAACTGAAAAATTGCCAGCCTAAAAAGCAGTTAGACTTAGAGAGGACTTACACATTGCAAAGAGGTTTGGGACAAGATACCAGGACATTCTCTATTTGAATATTCTGTATTAATCCCCTCTTAGTAAGAGTATCCGAGGATCAAAGTATCCCAGATATTGTGTGATTTGAGGTTCAGAAAAATATGGTCTTTTCAAATGTGAATTTCTTTCCAAGTCAGAGTCTATGGTTCTGTCATTTACAGGAATAAAGAGCCCGCCCTGGGTGCAGTGCTCTCAGAGAGCCTGCATGCAGCATCGAAAGTTCCAAACTGTGCTTAACACAATGCTGCCCAATAGTAAAGATAATCACATCGTGTCCCCTCCCCCTGTCCCTCGCCGCCCAATTTTATGACATCACTTGCAGCCTACCCTGCTTCCCTGTGACCCTCTAAGAACAAAGAGACAAAGCTTCTCCATCTTAAGAGGGCATAAAGGAGAAAGACCCAGCTGGAAGTAGGCAAAAGGTGGAAAAGGGCTTCTCCATTTAAGAAATATATTTCCCTCCACATTCCACCAAAGAAAGTCATTAGATAAATAATGTACTTTC